CCCAGCGCGGTCTCATTGGAAGGTGCTTTCCTGGCAGCTGCCCAGATTCTGTTTCTGGCGGGGAAGTCTAAGAGTTCAAGAACATTGGTGCCCATAAGAAGGGCGCAGCATTCATGTTTCAGCTATAACTTCGTGTCTGTTTTACTTTCAGCTTCTTGAAAATGTCAGAAATTTCCAGCGACAGCGACTCATCATGCGGCTGGACAGTTATCAATCACGAGGTACTTGGCAGATGTGTACGTTAGGGTCAGGGGTCATCTTCCCTTGCTGTGAAGTCGGGTAGGAGCATCCTTTGTACCCTTGTGGGTGCTCTGTCCCCGGGCCGAATGGGTCTCCAGAAGAGAAGGGGCAGGATAATGCCGGTGCACACTGGAGGAGTGCCAGGATCTCTGGCAAAGCGCTTCTTGTATCAGGCAGAGTAGAAAATGTTCCTGGTGCTGTGGAACTGCTGCTGCTGCTGCAAAAGAACTTTACTGGGACAGTCAGGAATTTACTGGGATGTAGACCTCTGACAGCTGGATTTTTTCCCAGCCTTCTCTCTCCCCACCCCTTCTGTAGAATCTGTTGAGCCCGAAGGGCGAGTGCAAGGAATGTGCCAGTCAGATTCAGGCCCTGGTCCTGAAAAAAGACCCTTTGCCTTTCAGCCAGCAGATCCCGTTTCTTAGCAACAGGGCACTTTCTGCAAAGGCTCTTGAGCGCAGCTTCATTGAAGGCAACCCCATCATGCAGTAGGCAAAGCATGCCCACTGTTGGGCTTTTTCTTGAGCGTTCCTGTTAACGTTTACTTAAAACTTCTGATATCTTTGGCCACATTCTCTAGTGTTTGGGAGAAGCAGATCACCCTGCTCTGGCACCTGTGAGCTGTTCATATCAAAGCTTCTGAAGGTGGGCATCCCTGCTCTTCAAGCAGCACAGTCCATTTGAGGCAGTCAGGACTTGGGAGGACCCTGTCGTGCTGCACAAAAGAAGGCTCTGACTTAACAGAGATTCAAAGGACCAAAGCAAGCACAGACCTGTATGAGCTAGGGTGGTGGGGAACTGTGGGCGAACCTAATATAAGATAAAATGATAGAGGAGAGGAAGAACAGCTCCTTCGCGTCATGGTGTGTTCTCTGGTTTTCAGATAGATCAGGAAAGCCATTTGGAGTTCATTTCCAAGGTTCCTGGTTGTTAAAAGCTCACCTGCAGCTCAGGGTCTCACAAGCATCCTGCCTGTGCACTGTTAGTCACCCATCCCTATTCTAAGGTTCCAGTGAGGTGCTGGTTGTGGAACACCAGGGGACTCTTTCCAGAGTTTCCAGCTCAATCTTCTAAAATTTTTGCAGTTCCTAGTGAGTGTATTTGTGTTTTTAGGGCTCCGACATCGAAGCAGTGGCACCTGACTCTGACAGTGCAAGTGGCCATGAGGAACTGGCCTCAGAGGAATTTCCATCCCTAACCCAAGCAGAGGACCAGCGAGAGCAGGCTGCTAGCCTGCAAGGTGAGGCTGGAACACAGCCTGGGCAGTGTGGTCATTTGGGCCACGGTGCTTCTGGGAATTGCGTGGAAGGATTGCTGAGCCAACCAAGAGATGTCTGGCTACATGAAAGGGAAGGGGCTTGAGGTTAGGGTGGAGGTTTTGTTCTGACTCAGGCATTTGAGGATAAGCTCTGCAATGATCTTCTCTGCAGAGTAAACAGGCTGGTCGTTGCTGGGGGTAGGGATGGGCAGCATTAGCAGCATCAGAGCAGGCCCATTTCCAGAGTTCCAGTCGCTAGTTTGGGACTAGAACGTGGATTGCAGACACTGTGTCAGCCACAGAGATAAAGTCTGATTTGTAAGTATCATTACCAAGCTGTTGCTCTTTAACAGTGACTGCTCTTCCCGTGGCCAGATTCATGTATGATTGATCGATCAAATTTATACAGCCGCCCATCTCACAAAAAGTGAGACTGGGTGGCGTACAACGGTCCAACAAAGCAATAAATATATAAACAATTGTTACACAAAATCTTTGTATAGTAATTATTAAAAACATTGAAAACAATAAAAATAGAACCAAAACAGAGAAGGAAAATAATAGGTGAAGGGATGTTAATAATAGAGTCTTTTCACTAGTTCACCTGTCCCCTGGGGTCCTCAGACCTGCTGACACAACCAGGTCTTGAGGGAACCTTAAACTCTGATCTCATCACTGGGGGGAGAAGATTCCACAATGCGGGCACCACAACAGAAAAGGCCCACTGCCTAGGGCCTGCCAAACATAGCTCTCTAAATGCCGGAACTCGTAACGTACCCACTCTGCTAGATCTAGTGGTACAGGCAGATGAAATCAGGGAGAGGCGGTCCCTCAAATAACCAAAATAACGGGTAAAATGGACATATATGCCACATAACTGATGCAACCCTGTCCAAGCTCTGCAGGGGAAAGCCGTGATAAGCCCACTTAGATTGGCCTAAGCAGTATGAGCGTGCAAGTACATGCACATGCATGGGGAAAAAAGGGTCATTGGATAGCTCTGTGTGTAATGTTGACCTTGTATGTCTTTATCCTTTGCTTCTACAGCTGACTTTGGCCAGGGTGATGTATCACTGAAAAGAGCTACAAACCAGCCCCCCGTGGAGCCCAGCGAGCTGGTTCCTGGGGTAAGTCATGATTCAGCAAAGGGCTTGGAAGATCATGTGCTGGGGACAAATGCCTCTCATATTTGTAGCTATTAGCAGAAAGGTGAAACCCAGCTGGTGGCCTCTTTGGAAGGGCTTGTGCAGAGAGAGGAGACCCAGCTGTTCCTTCCCTCCCTGCTGTGTTGCCCTGTTCTGAGTCAACAGGCTCTCACCTTGCTGGAGGATTCCCTGGGAACATCTCCCAAATTAAAGGGTACCAGGTGTAGATGCTCTACTCTATTCTCTGCTGGGATTTCTCTGCAAGATGCTGTTCAAAATTTCTGGAGGTTCCAGCTAGGAGAAAGTTGCAATTCTAGGGGCCATAGGAGATCAGGTTCTCTCCTCTCAAGGGTAGTTGGGAAGTTGTCACCCATGGAACTGCCACTGTGTTTCCTACTCTGAAAGTGGGAAAGGCCTGGTGTGCTGGGAAGGCCCTTCTGTGCCCTTGGCATCTTCGGAACAAATCTTGCCCACCTTACCCAGCCCTGGTGTGGGTGCTTTTATGTTCAGCTTGCTAGGTCTTGGAAGCCCCCACCCCCCTTGGCTTTCTCTTCCAACTGATAGGACTGCTCTGTAGGTCAGTGAACAAGCTGTAGAAGCCAGGCCATCCATCTATATACTCTCAGTTTCAGAGTGGCTTAATATGTGGTGGACATTTCCATTCAAATTATCACGCAACACCTCTGTGAACAAATTTTTAGAAAAAAATATTCAATTTCTCAATTCTGGGAAGACTGTTGTAATATTAAAAGGGAAAAAGGGCTGGGGGGGGGAGAAACATCCATTTAACTCCTGAATTGCATTTGCCAATCTAGTTTTTAAATGCAATTTTTCATTTGAAATTTATAAGAAATATTTGTAACTTTCAAGTATTTTTCCAAGACTTTCTGTAAAAGAAAAAACAAGGCACTTGCAAAAAAAAAATTTAATTTTCCAAACTGGTAATAAAATGCCACTCATTTAACATTATATCCAAGGATGAGAAAGAAAAATTGCTGGATGAGACTTCCTGTGTGGGGGCAGTAAGTGATGATTCAGACATTGTGACTCTGGAGGTGCCGAAGGTGGAAGAAGTTGGAAGCCAGGAAGAAGCTGCCTCGGGAGATGAGGAAGGCCAAGCCTTGGAGAATTTCAACATGGGTTCCTCTTCCAGCAGCCAGTACACTTTTTGCCAGCCAGAAACAGGTATACAGAGTTCTTCAGTCTCTTGAAACCAGGCAGTATTCTGTGGAGAAACTGAACGTGATGAAAGTGACAGTCCTCAAACATTTGCCCCAACCTGGTGTATTTCCTCGAGTTATTTGGTTAAGAATAGGAAACTGGTTTTCGCCCTAACTCTGTTGAGCATTAGAAATAGCTCATGTTTTTGGCTCCCTGAAGTTATGTGTTGTTAGGGCCCTTTTTTAAAATCACTCCCTCTCCCTCTCCCTGGAGAAACTTCTGTTTCATCATATTATTGAGTGTGGGGTTCATGCGGCTCACTGTTTAGTCTGTTGAGCACCCTGAAAGATGCCACAAATTAGACAGAAACTCTGCTCTCTGATTAAGAGAGAGTCCCTCAGAGTTTCTTAGCTGTGTTAATCTGGTCGTGGGCTGTAGAGAGGCCTTGCATCGAAGGGTCAGTCCCGTGCTCCTTGGCCACCTCTGAAAAAAAATGCTATTCTGTGCACAGGGCAACTAGAGGTGAGTCTTCATTATGGAGACATGGGACTCATCCAGCAAATAATCACCCACATCATTTAAAATAAAGGTTGTTGGGTGTTTTACCTCTGTTGGGAAGCAAGAAGGAGCATAAATGAGTATTTCTAAACTCTTATTTAGAGCTGTAGCTCAAAGTTAATATTTAACCTCAGATAAATTTCTTGATTCACTGAGTTCAGATCTGCTCTCTGGTCTATAACCTCTCAAATAGCTGACCTCTTCTAATCACAGCCTATCTGGAATTGCATGTTTTAAGTCAAATCATCGCTGGCATTAAAACAACTTTTCCTCCTCATGTTTTCCTCCTCTTCAGCCTGTTCTGGGAGCAGATGCAGACTTGGTGACTGTCAGATAGGTTGATAAAAACAGGGTGATGGGAGTTGTAGTCTAGCTAGCACCTCTGAGGGTCCTGCAGGCCAGCAGCAGCAGCCAGCGGGCTTTGCCAGCAGGTTCTTTCTTAGCCAAGCCTAAACTGTAGCAGGTGAGCAGTGGCCCTTTGGCAGTGTCTGGAGTCTGCACGGAGAGGCAGGGTCCTCCCTGCGGACCACAGCTTGGCTGAGCTTGAGTTCCCAGCTGCTGCTCTGGGGCTCATCGTGAAAGCCTGAATAAGTCCCCGGCCAAGAACCATTCACTCCCCTTGTCCATAGAACGGGTTGGCCTTTTGCTGTGTCCTCTCGATCAGAGGTTAAAATCTCTTCCTTCTGTTTTGTATACAAAAGCCGGTTGGTTGGAGCAGCTTTGGACGGTCCCGCGGTGTGTGAGTGGATGGGGTAAGCAGCTGAACCAGCCAGTGGCCGGCCTCCCGCTCCTTGGCATGACGGCCGGGGTTGGGGCTTGCTTTCATGCTTTCTAGCCCTTTTGAAGAAGAGAGGATGCGTCCCCCCCCCACAAGAAAGAATTCTTGGGGGATATGTTTGTGGGGGGGGGGATGGAAGAGAAGGCCTCCCAGAAGGCGCTAGGAGGTGGTTTCTTGGGTGAAGCCAGGGCTGTTTCAGCAGCCTTTTCCTAAGCAACCATAAGAGCAGTCCGCGGTCTTGGGGCAAATTAAAAGACTAACACATAAACTCTAATTCAGAAACCAAAATGTACCTGCGTTAGTGGGTCATTATAAGAAAATGCATCCCCCCATTCTGTTGCAAGACCAACAGCCAGACTTTTAGCCAGCTTCTTGCCTTTGGTTTCTGACTTGCTGTTTATGGTGTGCGTGTATGTGCATCCACGCGTGTGTATACTCATGCGGTTTTCCAAGTGTGGGTGTGCTTAATGTAATCCCTTGCATAATATGAACACTTACCTAGATCACGGGGCTTCTCATGCTGGCCTCCTGTCCCTTAGGGATGGTGCAAGCTTTCTGTGACTGGAGAGGGAGACACACTTCCCTGAGAAGCACTTCCCAGCCCCTAACCAAATGGGAGCACTGGACTGGCCTTGCACCTACGAGGCAGAGAGAACGGAACGAGGAGGCAGGCTCAGGGGAGCATCCCCCTCAGCTGACCAAGCAAGCAAGAGGGAGGAAGCGGCTTCTGCAGCAATCTGGCCTGGTTAACCCTTAGTGTGAGCAGTGTCAGTGACTTTTGGTCCTGCTTTAGCCCCTCAGAAAGTTTGGCCTTGCCGTGCCCCTCAGCTGGACAGCGGTCTCTGGGGCTCATGGGGCCCAAGACTGGCCGAGTTCTCTTCAGAACTGCATTTGCCATGCATCTGGCACAGCAGCTCCTCTCCATATGGTGCTGGGTGTGGTTTAGCTGCCGGTTGAAATATGTGACACTAAATAACGTTGGATATGAGCTGCATTAAAAGATATCGAATGCTTGTCCCTTTGAACAACGACATGCATTTCTGCCGGAGGCCAGTTTTTCATTTATAAAAGGGCACCAATGTGAAGCAATTGGACAATACAGGACCTGCTGAGAATTTAGCTCCAGAAAGCCTGGAAGTGGCACTAAAAGCAAAGCGGGGCACTGAGAGTTCCGATTTCCGCTTGACGGCCTGGCCACTGCAGCCCAACAAACGTAGAGATGCATGCGATGTCCTCTGAAGCACAAGGGGAGGCGGTGGGCAGAAGGGTTGCTCCCTCTGACCTGTGGCAAGGAGCGTGGCCCACCCGCCTGGGAATCCTCAAGTCTTGTGGGAAGATGTGCCGGGGTTTGTGCCAGGAGGGCCTTTGTTTATTGCCTGCATTTGTTGTCCAGTTTTTCCGCTGCAGCCAACTGGTGAGGAATCCAGCAGTGATGAAACCAGCCACTGCCCCAGCCCTGCCTTGAGGCGCCGGCGTGCAAAGAAGAGGCTGCTCTCAAGTTCAGAGTCAGAGGAAGGCCTGCCGCCTCACGACCTAGAGATCAAGCAGGCCAAGCACCTGCTGAGCAGCGGCCTGAACAGATGCATTATCCTTGCCTTGGTGATCGCAGTCAGCATGGGGTTTGGGCATTTCTATGGTGAGTGCAGCGGGGGACGCGTAAGGGTGGGGATGGAGAACACACGGCAGAACAAAATGCTCCCTTTCTGGTATTTTAAGGGGCAAAATAGGTGCCTGAAGCTTTGGAAATGCTGAGGACCCCTGTCAGGGGCCTCCCACAGCCCAGCACAGCCTGCAAAATGTAAGGCTGTTGCATTTTCTGTATACCTTGCCTTGATGTTGGGATTGATGGCCCTTGAAAGCCACTTATGCACAAGGTTAAGACTATAGTAGAAGAGCAGCCTTGCTCAAGCATGTGCCACTTTGCAGCCAGCAGGAGAGCTGGCAGAGCCTTGGGGTGAACTGCTGGACTAGTAGTGGGGAGACCCACGTTCACGTCCCCTCTGTGCCACAGAAGCTTCCTGGGGGATTTTGGGCGAATCGTTCTCTCGGCCCAGTGAGCCTCACAGGGCTGATTCTGTGGGGAAAAATAAGAGGAAAGTGTAGTGTGTACACTGCCCTGAGATCCTTCAGGAAAGGCAGGTTATAAAACAAATAAAATGCAAGACCTAAACTGCTGGGAAAGAGGCTTTTTCTTCCAAGTGAGCAAAGAAATAAAAAGGGTAGTTCAACGTAGCGCTTAGCACGTGGATTTGGCTTGGAGAGATCCAGGTTCCAGTCCTTCTCACCAATTCCCTATTGGTTGCCAGTCAGCCAGCAGCTGTCTCTTGTGGGATAATCCCCTGACCTTCTGGGAGGAAAACTGAGATATACATGGGGTAAAGGTAGGCAATTTCTGCAGTGACGGCTCAGGAGATAGCACCAGTGCCACCGACTTGGCAGCGGTATTGAGCTAAATCCAACATTTCTAACTGTCTGCCCCATCTCCAGAAATATTTAAGGATTAGATGCAGAATGCTAGTTCTCTTTACAGCTAGTTGGAGTAGAGGGAATAAGTGATCCATGTGGGCTCCATACCTGCCTCTCCAAGGTATTCTGGGAAATTTTCCAGGGGCTCCAGTCCCAAAGAGTGGGGTTGCTTCCAGCCCCAGCCAAGAGCTTGTAGGAAAGGCCATTCTCCAGAGGCAGGGTAAGCAGAGCTTATGAATCCAGCAACCTCATCCTTGTACTCCTGATACACATCATTTTATGTGTTGCAGGGAACACTTTTCCCCAATCAGCCATGGACCACCTTTGGGTGTTCCGTGTCATCTTCTCTTTATTCACTTAATTACTAAAAACAAAACAATTGAGAAACATATCTTCCAAAATCTTCCTTCAGATGGGGACCCAAATTATGGGTAAAATTCTGGTTTCCTAACGGACCAGCTCAACCAGCTTGGAATGAAGCAGCATAGAAATTTTTAGATCAATAGATAGAGTAGTGAGTATTGGTTTCTGGTGGTCCCAGATTCTGGTTTGGAGGCAGAAAACATCATTACAATATCATCTGAGTAAAGCTGACATCCATCTGCTACTTTTGTCCTTAGGCAAATTTGAAGGTAAGAGACATGATTGAAATGTGTTGCTGTGAAACTGAGCTTAGGCTCCTTTGCCAGATATGCTTGGGTGGTGTGTGTGTGGTGTTTTTTTTTTAACTGTGGGTGAGGTAGCCTTTAACCACGCTTACCATGCTTTCTCCTGGGATGTCTATCTGGCCTAAGGTCAGTTCTGCATCTTCACTGGGAGAAATCAAGTTTCCCTTCCCTCAGTGCTGTGTCTCCCATGTGTTTTTGGTAGTGGCTGCAGCTCCTTTGACACAAGTAGGTCTTTTCCGTTTGCTGGGGCATTGCTGCATGAGCTTCCTTAACTAAGAGTGCCTGCTGCACATGGCTGTGAGCCAGAGATGCTTCAGTCACTGACAACATTTCCCATAAAAAAGCACATCAGTTTTCAGGTATCACCCATCCAGGTTAACGCAGCTTGGTATAACCACTGTTCTAAAGAGGGCTGGTATAAGCTTGCCCCCAGTTTACTCTCTTCTCAAAATAGGCATTAAGCATGTGATGCTGGTTGCAAGATTGCATGCATCCCGCTTTATCTGTGCTCTCATATTATACAATCTGCTGCTTTAACAATGGATCGAAACATTTGCCATTGTTTGAAACCTTCATTTTTATTAAAGCTGAATATTTCAATCTGCTCTGGAGGTACTCCTCAACTTATGACTATGATTGGGACTGGAATTTCCATCGCTAAGCAACGCGGCCATAAAGTGAGATGTCACATGACAGCATCACTTAGCATCCACAATCCCGGCAGTCCCTTTGCCATAATTAACTGAAAATTGTAGGTCATTAAGTGAGTACCCAGCCCAATCCAAGCCATTCCAGGCTTGGTCCTTCCCAGCCCCGAACCCCAGTAAGGGAGGGGCTGCCTCCAACTCCCTCACCCTTCTATCTCCCCCCTCATCTCTGCCCTTCTGGCTGTCCTGCGCCCTGCCTCGTGGAGCAGTGAGTAGCCCCAGAACTGCGCGGCTCTGGGGCTGCTTGTTGCACCCCGGGAAGTCGCAGCCACCCTTGCCACCTTGCACTCTGAGATCCCTGCCAACCTATGCTCTGCCACCCCAACTGACCTTCACTGTCTTCTTGCTCCAAAACGCCCCTTTACAAAAAGCTCCAGGGCGGGGCAGGGCTAGGCTGGGCTTTTGCTTTGCACTACCAAAAAAAAGTCAAAAGCAACCCAAGCAACAACACACCAAAACGCCCCTTTGTGCCATGTGGCTGAGCTGGGCTGAGCTTTTGGCTTTTTTCCCCCCGCAATGCGAAACAAAAGCCCAACCCCACCCAGGACCTTTTTGCAAAGGGGCTTTCCAGAGCAAGAAGACAGTGAAGGTCAGCTGGGGCAGCTGAGTGCAGGGGGTCAAGAGGGCATAGACTGGGGGGAGTTAGGCAGGTGGGGGGAGTTGAAGTGCCCCTGTGGTCGTAAGTGCAGGCAGGCTCCCAAGCGCCCGAATTTTGATCACATGACCACAGGGGCACTGCAACAGCTGTAACTTTGAGCACCAATCATAAGTCAGTTTTTCCAGCATGATCATAACTTCAGTCACTGAATGAATGGTCATAAATCAAGGACTACCTGTACCAGGTCATAGTTTGGTTTATAAAACTGAAGAAAATGTGGACATGTTTCTAATAAGCTGCTTAACGTCCCGTTTTTCATGTCAGATAAAAAAGAAAATTTTCTGTTTCAAGGTACAGTTCAGATCCAAAAACGGCAGGAACTGGTGGAGAAGACTCACGAAGATGAACTGAATGATATGAAGGGGGATCTTTTGCAATGCCAACAAGAAGAAGGAAGTAAAACACAGTGTGGGGTAAGGAGAATGTTTCCATTCCCTGCAGATTGAAAATATCTTTTTGAGCGTTTGCCCCATTACATTACAAGGTTTTGCGGCTTTGTCACCTCAAGTAGCCAGAGACAAGCTAAGGCATTCCATCCTGTTTGTGGTCCTTCATTGATCTCCAAAACTACAAGTCACCAAGTCTGAGGAAAACATGAAGCCAAGCCTCATACTGAAACACAAAGTTGGGGAGTTGCACCTCATTTCCTTTCTCTGCAGAGGGAGGGAGGGAGGGAGGGAGCCTTCCTGCTCTCTTAATACTGCTGCTGCTGCTAAATTGTCCCCTGTTGGTTAGGGCCACATTCTCTTTTTCCCTTGTTTTTCCACCATCAGAACTTCTGTGCAACTTGTCTGCTTTCTTTCTCCACCCAGTCTCTGAAGGAGGGCCTTGCAACTTGCTTGCTTGCCACGGAGATGGAAAAGAAGTCCTTTGACTCTCAGAAATATCACCTTGCTTCAGAAAATCAGCACTTGAGGGAGTCTTTACAGAGGGAGGAAAAAGCATTGGCATTGTTACAGGAAGAGCTGAGGAAGCTGAGGGAACAAATAAGACACTTGGAAAGCAAAGGCCCCATCCCAGAGTCACTGATTGTGACTGAAAATCAAAAACTCAGAGCACATTTGGAGGAGGAAAAACATAGACTGCAGAGTTTTATGAAACAAAAGGAGACGTTGCTGGCCGAAGCCCAGATGCTGAGGAGGGAGCTCGACAAAGAGCGTCAAGCGACGGTAGCCCTTCGGGAAACACTGGAAGAACTGAGTTCTCAGCAAGTGCCACTGGAGGCAGAGGCCAGCTCACGCAAGAGCCAAGAGGTGGAAACTCTGCGAGATATGTTGACCGAGCTGGAGAAGAAGCTCAGCTTTGAACAGCAGCGGTCAGATTTGTGGGAGAAACTGTATGTTGAAGTTAAAGATCGTGCAGAGAAGCAAGAGAGAACAGAAAAGGCCCAGAAGTCAGCTGGGAAAGGAGGCAGCCCAAGTAAAGCCAAGCCAAAAGCGACCTTCTTTGGTTCTGTAAAAGAAACGTTTGATGCTATGAAGAATTCTACCAAGGAATTTGTACGCCACCATAAAGAGAAAATCAAGCAGGCCAAAGAAGCCGTGAAAGAGAACCTGAGAAAGTTCTCTGATTCTGTCAAGTCGACCTTTAGACATTTTAAGGACACAACAAAAAATATCTTTGATGGAAGAGAGAAGAAAAGGTATGGCGACAGAAGACACGAGACTAACAGAAAAGGGAGGACGATGCATCAGGCAGACGGTTCCCACGAAGGGCCAGTGAAGCCAGCACACCACAGAGCCCCGGGGAGCCAGAGGCATTTCAGCCGCCAGAGAGAGTCTGAGGATGCCAGGCCCCTTTTGCCCTTGTCTGCAGACGCTGCTTCCAGGGAGTGTCCCAAAGGCCCTGCAGGGAGCCAGAAACACCACACCCTTCTAAAAGGATGTTCTGGCATTTTTGACTGTGCCCACCAAGAATTTGTTAGCCTCTTTAACAAAGTACTGGATCCTATTCGGGCTGATGAATTTAATCAATTAATGCACAAATATTTGCAGCAAGAAGTAAAGAACTTTCATCACTGGCGAGAACTGGAGATTTTTGTCAACAAGTTTTTCTGCAATGGTGTCTTCATCCACGACCAGATGCTGTTCTCAGACTTTGTCAGTGACGTCAAGGACTATCTTGAAGACATAAAAGAATACCAGAGACACAGTGACAGAGCGTTTGAAGACTTGGACAAATACATATACCAGTACTACTTTCATTATGATCAGTTACCTCAGCACGCACCCAGGTGAGTGCAAAACATGGCCAATTCTTGTTATTTATATGGGGCCAGGGAGAAGATCACACACCTTTCTGCTCAGCACACGGGTGGGGTGGGGCTTGGTCATAGAAATGCCTCCATAAGGAAGGCCTCTCTCTAGCGGAGAGGTGAAAAAGAGGGCACAAGTTCCAGGGAAAATTGGTCTGATGCCGTTTCTTCACTCCATTAGACACTAGCATCAAAAGCATATTAAATGATCAAGGGAATCCAGAGTCTTTGTCAAAAGCAGCTTGCTGGCCTCCCAGATGGTTCTTTCCAATGAGTGGAGGCAGGCTCATTTGACGAGTTGAGTACCCAGATTTGAGGCTTTCAGGTAGGAAGGCATTTGAAGGGCACAGCCTGCTTTCTGTCCTTTCTTTCCAGCTATCCCAGGAAGACGTCCTCTTTTGCACCCCCTTACAGCCCTCAGCAGGAAAGACACGTCCCCAAGCACCAACAGCGTTACAAGAGGGAAGGCCGATGGCAAAAACAAGGGCGCGGCAGTGGAAGGCACACAGCAAACCTGGAGATAGAAGTGGGCCGACTTCCTTTTGACCCCAAGTACTGAAGGGTCACATGGAGCCCTGCAGGCTGGCAGCAAGAGCTCCTGGTCAGCCACCGGGAGAGCTTTCGTCAGGGCAACTTAAGGCTGGCTTCCGTCAGCTTCATCTCCATCTTTCTTCCTGCCTTGCAGTCTTTTTGGGAAGCATTAATTGGCTGCTTTCTACTATTGAAATAAATAAGCAGGGTAAGCAGTAGTTTTAGGCAAGTTGTAAAACAAGCTTTTTTGCACTTGTTGGTACTTGATTCTGATATTACGTGGGACTGATTTCATCTCATGCTCTCCAGAAGCACATCTTTTATAGCTGTTTAATTATTCTGATTGCGATGGGATTGTGTGGCTGCCTTCTGATCATCTTGCTTTTAAATTTTCTTGCACATCTGTACATTGAAAAAAAATAAAGAGGTGGTTCCAAAACGTCGATTCATAGAGGTTTGCATAGCTGCATGTTTTCTGAGCAGATCTGACGCCTTAGCAGACAAGCCACAGAAGGCAGCCTTTGCCACCGCAAAGGTGCTGGTGCCTCCTCCCCCCGCCGAGCGAGCCCAGAAGCCGTATTTCGGACCTACATCTGGGTATACTCAAGGGCAGGGGCTGCTGCTTTGCTGTTCCTCCTGCATCAGCCCCGCCTGTTCATCTCTTAACTCAGTTTGGCCAATCTTCAAAATAATTTTTTGAATACATAAATGTGGCTTCCAACTCGTCCTTGAGGCAGATGGGTGTGAAAGAACATGGCAGCTTTTACATAACTGTTTGAAATCAGAAATGGTGATATTTCCTGTAATTAAAAATACAGTTAAGGATTACTTACACTGCATCTACTTTGAAAAATGTTCATTCGATACACAATTTGGAAAGCTGCAACGAGACTAGTAGGTTCCCTCCTCTCCCCAAGTCTTAAGCAGTTATTCAAAGGGTGAAGAATGGTTTTGAAACGAAAGAGTGGTATTCTTCCTGATGGATCAGAACAAAATCATATGATGGAAAGTATCCTGAATGTTGTTGATGAGCCACTAAGTAAGAGAGTCGGTTCTTAATGAGTTTAGTTGCATTTATGACTAGGTGGAAGAGGCTTCTGCCTACTATTTTGCTCTTCACAATAGAAAAGGTAGGAGAGATAATTAAAAACTCCACCAAATGAAGATAGTTTTGCCTTATTGCAGAAATGCCTCAATAGCACCATCTCTTTTCTGCGAGCAACTCAACACTCCTACAGCTGTATGACAAAAGACTGAGTGCTAAAGTGAGCTGGCAAGATTCAAGCCAACTCAGTTGAAGGGCAGGGATACCCAAAAGTCTGGATTATTCTAAAGGAGACTGATGTTTATCATAGGCTACAATCAGGACGTTCAGCAGACACAGCTGTGAAGGGGGCACTTTGTGGTGGGCTCCTCCACCAGAATTGGTCTCCTTGGGCAGACTCTGCATCCCCAGAACTGTCGGGGCACACCTGCCATCTTTGGAAATAAGGCTCCCTGCTGAAGCTGCAATAAGCCATGCTGAAAAAGGACCCCAAGACTTCAAAACATGGGTTCTGCTGATCAGGAGACTTGGGGGCTTCCATACCTGCTCAAGCACGTTGAAGAAGACCAAGTGGGAGGGTAGTTGTGTAGCATTAGGAAACTCTTCGCTGAGCCACTGGAGAGGGCGAGAGTAAAATAAGTCAGCTTCATCAAGATAGTTGGTTCTTCCCGTCAAATCTGGAGGGCACTGAAGAAATCTCAGTTGCAGTGGACAGTGAATATGGCTAGGAGCAAAAAAAACAACGGTTAAGAAGGGAAGCTGGCTGGGCTGACATTCCTCCACTATGCCTGCCCAGTTTTTTTTCATTTCTGCTGAAAAAGCACCACAAGGGTGGGGGCAGAGATGGGAAACTTATCTCATATGCCAAAGGAATTGTGTCTGCAAGGCAGTGACCCAGAGAGGCTCCCGTCTTGAAATAAAAATGCAAGGCAGGCTGCCTCCTGGAACCCGGGTTTCATGACGGGGAGGCAGGAAGACTCTCAGCCTTTGGGAAGTGTGTTTCAGTGCAGGAAGAGGACCCGCTGCATGGTAGGCAAGAGCCTTTGCCTTTACCTGTAAAAAGGAGTTGAATGACAGGGCATTAGCAGGAGAATGGAGGACTGCCCTTGGGCCAAGGGGCTGCAGAGCTCCCGGAGGTAGACCATCACGTCAAGAGTGCCACGCTGATGCACCAAACCAGTGTAGAGGGCAAGGAGCAGGTTGGAGCTCAGCAAGAAGGAAACGGCAGCCCTTCTCCACCTCTTCAGCCGAGCCAGCGAATGCCCTAGGGAGAGCAGGGACAGCTGGATGAGTGAGCTAGTCATAGACCAGATTGTAGACACCATCCAAACCGCTGCTCAAGTGAATCTGAATTGGGAAGGAACACTGTTTCAGTTTTCAGTTTTCAGCTGGCAAATAATCGCCTGAGAATAAGGGCCAAACACAATGCAAACACCTGCAGGTATTGTCACTTCAGGCTGTGGATTACTGGAATGAATATGACAACCAAAATACCAAGAGAACAAGGAAGGGTCTCCCTATGCCAGGAAACTGAAGTCTCCAGTAGGGGGAAAGCTGCCACGGCTGCCGCACAGATGGTCAGAGTTAGCAAAGATCCATGGGATGGGGCCCTTGCCGTTTTTACAGAACAGCCTACCAGGACTGCTATCACAGAACAGATGCACACTTTTTCTCCAATTTTACTCCTAGAAGCAAATACTGGCCTTTTTACAAAAGGGGTAATGAAAACATCACTGTGATTTTAAGTCCTTAGCTGGCATACAGAATTTTATTTTCAATGGCAAGAGCGTTTCAGAACTTCCAAAGAGCTCACTTCTATTTCCTCTTTGAAGCACTTCATGTTGTGGCAAAGGAGGTGTCTGGAAAGGAAAAGCCGGGCCCCCAAAAGGACCCCAAGACATTTCAAGCCAAAATGCTTACCACAGAAGAGCATACAGATGGGCAGGATGGGATAGATAAATCGGAATTCTTTGTGATGAAGTATGCTGGAAGAAAAAGACAGGGCAAGGCCATCATGGGCATGCCCTCCAGACCTCTACCTACGTAATTAAGCCCAAAGCTGCCCTCCTCAGAAAACCTGCAAGGCTCCGTCCCGCTGCGGAAAAAACCAGCCTGTGTGCCAGGAGGCTCCCCTTTGCTTGGCTGAAGGGCAAAAGCTGATTAAGCCACCTCTGGTAGGGCAGGGCAAGCAGCACTAGCCTTACATCCGCAGCAGCAACGAGAACACATACATGAACGGGTCTTAATCCCAAAACAGGAAAACGGGTGTACCTGTAGGCTGCCACAGTCCAAAGCACAACCACCAAGAACACCCGATGCTTCCTCGGGGCGTTGAAGCAGCCGTGGAGGAAGAAAGGCAGGTGAGGGCCCAGGACCACTGGCAAGCCCTGGGTGAAATACCAGTGCCAGGAGTGGGATCCGTAGAAGGTGGCCAGATCGTGCAGAACATTAAACTTCAAAAAGTTGAGTGGAACCACAACCCACTGCAGGAATGAGAAATGCAACAGTCAGGCTGCCCCATGATCAGAATGACTGCAAGCTGGGAGCTGTTGCTTCCCCTGCGCTCCTCTTGGGAGGCATTCAGATCTGCCTCCCAAACAGGACTCGCATCACCCAATTCTCCCTTCTACAGACAAGGATCAGGTCTGACTAGAGCCTGGATGGGAGATGACCAGCTTGGTAGGGCTCTAAGCTGGATGAGAAAGTTGAAAAATGCAAGGAGGTACCAGCAATCAAGCTCAAGTTGACTTAAGGGAATGCTGCAGAGCTTCAAATCAGGGCTGGGAGAGAATTTGCTTTGCTCAGCAAGGACTGGCGATGCCCTGATACAACTACATCATTATCCTACACACACGCACACAATTACAGAGTTGGAAAAAGGGACCAGGAATGATGTGGAGTGGAGAGCCCGTGATACCTATCCTGCATTAGTTTGATCCTCAAAACAAGGTCCTGTACTCGAAGTCTTTAACCAGTTTCTCCTGTAAGCCCAGAGCCTTGCTCCTGTTTGAAAATGGTGGTAAAGGAAACAGATAAAAGGGGAGAGAGAAGATAGGACAGCCACAGGAAGGAAAGGCAAGGAAGGGCTGGTGGCCCAGTGCCCATCTCAGTCTTCCTGTAGGCTGTACAGAGAGCAGACGTCGGAGGGAGGCAGTGACGGGCCAGCAGCTCTTCCCAGGCATTTCAGTCCAAGGCTTAGCAATCCTTGGGTGCATCTGAGGACGCCAGCTTACCTTGCCAAAAAAGACCCTGTCAACTACTAACGAACCTCCCAAAGCGATTAGTCTGTTAAAGAAAAAAAGTAACAGTTGCATGGCAGAAAGATGGGTTCCTTCCTGCCCAGGGTCTTCCCCCTCACAAGGCCCTGGATGGTTCACATGTTGTTCCCTGCATCCTTCCACAGCCAACTCCAGTTTGCTCTGCTCTTTCTCACCCACCCCACCTCCAGCACAGCAGCTCCTGGAGTTAAGTGGTGGCACCTTTCGTTTGAAAGGTGAGATGTGCATTGCAGCAATTTTGACAAGATTCAGTAAAGACCCACTCACCCCACTGGAAGGCAAGTGCCCCAGAGGAGACGCCTCTTGTTGGACTCCTTCCAAAAGTGCCAGAGCAGCAGTGGAGCCCACAGAATGGCAGCTGTTGGGCGGATAATGCATGCCAGCGCAACCAGGGCCAGGTAGTGGTGGCTGGAAAGATGGCAGATGGGGAAAGTTCAGGACAGCTCCAGCAAAGCCACTGAGATGGGCTCCCATGCCACAATTCAGCCTAGGGTTTACTCAAATGTAAGGGCACACGGAGCTGCAGCCTTAAAGTGTTTTGTGAAAGCTGCCCTTAGAGAAAGGGAGGAGGAGGACAGAGAAAGGCCAAAGGTCCTTGTGCTTGAGGCTGAAAAAAGCTCAGAGAAAGGCAGAACTTCTCTGAAGAAAACAACAGTATGTTGGGAAACCAACCAAGCACAAGAAACCTTTGTCTGAGGAGGAGGATGACAACAATGACTATTTCTGCAAGGTTAAAGGTTTAATAAAAAACTTAATTTCAAGGTTCAGCTTATCTATCTGTCTCCCCGCCCACTCCCACATGATATAAGGTATCTCACCTGCTCTCCATATTGGCACCTTCCATGGGATAGTAGAAAAGAGCAAAGGTGGTCAGAACCGCTTCCATGGTGTTGCTTAAGGTCCTGGTACAGCAGTACCACGTGAACCAAGAACACAACTGGCAAAAGTACTGGGGACAAAGCAGAAGAACAGCGGGCGTGTGACG